GGTACAAATTGTAACTTACCTACAAAAACTACTTTGCTCACATGTTTTGAAATTTCCTTTGTCAACTGATGCAGACAGTGATATTGAGGATAAAATTATTAGGAAGACCCATTGTAAACTGTAAAATAACACATTACATTAAATATGCATATGATGTAATCATACAAAGATTATGTCAATTATAATATATAAAATCACAAAAAAATTCAAAAACAAATAAATTGCATAAWATCACTTATTTGAAGTCATATCCACATAATTTCAAATGTCTGCAATAAAAAATAGGTTTGGAGAAATTCCTGATTTGTTCAAACACTTCAAATTTGGGCATAAGACATCAAGGGATCCCTGTGGAGGACCATGGATGATAATTGGGACAGCCAGTATTGATATTAATTAAGGAACACAGCATACAGTAAAGATATGCAGAATTTTTTTTAAATCTCAATTAAAATTCTTAGTATCTGGAGACTTTTCAATGAATGACAAATCAGTGTATGTTTAGTACTGTAACAACACATCTAACCCCAAAGAGGGTATAGCTTTACATGTGGGTAAACATCACATACAGTCCCTGTCTCTTGTAGTGAAGGTTTAAAATGATGGTTTAATATTTAAAATGAAATTAAAAATTAGGAATTTATCCACAAATCAATGACTTTTTCACCAGAAGTGCTCAAATTTTTGTCTATGCTTACATTAAAATGACTTCAAGTAAGTTATAAGTTGCACTTAAATTTAAAACACAGGCATAATGGACTAGTCATTTRAAAACCCCATCTCATGGGACTAACAAGGGGATAGRTAAAGGATAATCTGCCCTTACACYGTGRGGGATTTCACTTGAATTGACACTCTCGTGCCCATATCCTCCTTGCCCCTAATTGACCCTTTGCAGCTGGGGGTCACATGACCACACCTACCTTAAATCAATCAGCTATCAAAAAATGATGTTCAGAAATGGAAAGAGCAGGTTTATGTTGGCAAAGTCCCAAKTCTCAACTCTAAATACTTCAAAAATGACAGCAAATGTAAAATATTGATTTTTCTCTAGAAACGSATGKGAAAATAGAACTGGAGAGCTGTGTTTTTGCATGTGTTTCTTTAGAAAAAAAAATGATTTAATATTTGCTATCAATTTTTAAATATTTAGTATTGAGACTTGAAACTATGTCTTCTTACTTAATTTGATGCCCTCTTACCATTTCTGAACATCATTTTGTCATTGCTGATTGATTTAAGGTGGGTGTGGTCACGTGGCCCCCAGCTGCAAAGAGCCTATTGGAGCCTGTGTGGTAACCTCTGATTTCAAGCTACATACTGTAATTAGAACAAATGAAAAAGCTGGTGTTTTCTAGCTATCATTCTTTTTCATTCAAGATTTTGTGTTCTTTTCTTTCTTTACGTATATTGAACTTTGATTCTAATGTGGAAAACTGTAATATAGGTCTCAAGTAAATGATTTGTTTTGCTGAGCTACTGATCAGTGATTCCAATGTACACATTTGACGTCAACCCAGACTTCCAAGCCCAAATTTTCGAAAGAACATAGCTCATAGCAGGTAATCCTAAGATATGGGATAGAATTGCTTGCAAGAAGCAAACTCTCCMATTGAATAGTTTCATTTTTCCTGAGTACCAATATAGTCTGCTCCAATATTTGTAGATTGTTCTTGTTGGGCCAGAGTAAAGTTTTGAAACAGTTAAGCTCATTGTGATTTCATTCTTCAGTGTGAGTTGTTGGATTTGAATGGAATATCTACATGTAGACAGTGGAGACTGACTAGAGAGTAAAGTCAGAGTACCAATCCAACCCTGTTTCCCAGGGGAGGGGATTACTCCCCTATATTCGCTATACAGGGATGTGCCGCCAACCAGGGTATCGTTTCCGGGGATTTTACTCTGGAACTGGGTATCGTTTTTAACGATTTTACTCTGGAACAGGGTATCAATTTCAACGAATTTTCTCTGGAACAGGGTCAGGGTTGAATTCTGGAATTATTGATGTTGGATAAAAATTCATG